TAGACAGCGTTCAGAGCCGAGTGCATTGAGGAGTGCCGGGAGGAGTGGGGGGAGGTGAACGCAGAAAAAGGAGAGTGGGTGGGTCTTTGCGGAGAAGAGAGGGAGCCTGTGGCGCGGCCATTTTGGAGAACCGCGAGTACCGGCGGGAGATTCGAATCTTCCGACCATCTTTTTTCTAGAAATTTTTTCCAATCGTATTATGTATTCGCAGAGGGAAAACAATGAAATCATGTTGGTTAATTGGTTAACGAATCACGGTAGATCGAGTATCTTTTTAGACTATCGTTTGTCGTTCTTTCACACTCGATCACCGTCTTTTCTTTTCTCTTTATCTTGTTATCGTTCGTTTTTCCTCAAGTTTTCCCTCTAACGGAGAATAATAGTACCTCTTTGCATTCTTTGTAATCGATTCACGGATAAAACATACATATTGTGATCGCCTGCGTCGTTTCTGATTTTTCTTTCATCTTTCACAATTTGTAATGAACGCGCGTGTGCTACTGTATAGCGATTAAGGGCGAGTCGTTTACCGCGGAATCTTCCCAAGAAAAATCACTTTCTTCTCTCGTTGGAGTTTTTCTCTAGATATTTTTTTTTTTTCGTTTTCTGAAAGAAGATCTTAGGATATCCTCGTTTCGCGGTCCAGGATTTCGTGGCGATCCCGATTTTTTCGCTTTTTTCTATTCTTCGAACGAATCGATATTGTACGATTCAATTCTACACCTAAATCAAAATAGCTTTGTTCGAAGAATGAAGTATTGGGTGTACATGCGAGACCATTATTATTATTACACACACGTATTCACGCGCCGAGTAATAACAACTAAAGAGCAAAAAAAAAAAAAAAAGAAAAAGTAGGCTAAGGAAAAACTCATTTTCTTTCGGGAGGGACGAACGTGCCGAATACGTTTAGCCAAGAGGCCAGAGATTGATTATGAGAGAAAGAAAATAATACCAGGAAAAAGTGCTTTCTTATAGTAATCGTGATTATTGTTTCTGGTGCGTATTCACGGTTTCGACGGACTCTTATCGTTCCAAGGTGCTGTAGAGAAATTCGTTTCTTTTTTTTTTTTTCTTTTTGTATCAAATGAACGCGAGCTTAATGGAATTTTTCGATCAACTTTTCGATTTGCAATCGATCTCGATTACGGCCAGAAAGGGTGAAATTTCTTTTTTAACGGAGAACCACCATTGTTTTAAGGCTGTACAAAATAGAGTAGCGTCTGGAACAGTTGCCGGCGTTGAAATCACCGCGTTTTATAGAGGTCTTCTCGCGTTTCGACGCGATTCAGCCACGTTTTCCTTTTCTTTGTTTTCGTCTTCGCGGAAAAATTTTTCCTCGAAGTTCTGTTCAGATTTTTAAGTATGTGGTGCAGTCGTGTCTAAAATGCAATTCTTCGCGAAAGAGCCTTGAGTTTTTACACTTTTCGTAGCTTTTAAGCCGGAGACTGCGTGTTCCCCTCGATTTTAAAAACGGTTTTTACGTTCTTGAAATCGTTGTTTCGTCATATGTGCATCTAGTCTTGTCCAGTATGCCCTCGTAATTTATGCACACCGCGTATACTACGTGGATTCGCATAAAACACGAACACAGACATATGTAACACGTGCGTAGGTTTCGATTGTGTTACCACGTGCGACGGCGATTTGCATTTAGGATGAACACTTACATAGTCTTGTTTTTTTTATTTCCGTTTCTTTTTTTTTTATAGTTGGCTGTGCCAGGTGGATTTTTGTTTTTTCAGTTTTGGATCGAAGAAGCAAGTGGTAACAGAATCGTACAGCGTTACCGTTGTGCCATTACGCAAGGAATCGCTGTAAAAAAGAAGTTTTCTCCCGGGGTGTCGCAACACTTTGCGAGTAACGCGAAGATAGATCGCGATCGACGATCTGACCGACTTTTAGTGCAATTATCGAGCAATCGTGTGTATTGATTTGTTTCCTTGGATTTGCAGAAGTTGAGAATGATTGAAAAAGTTTTAGCTTCGAAAGTTGAAACATTCGGAAGTTTTAACTTTTGAGGTGTGAAAAATTGGATAATTCAAAATTTCGAAAGTTCAAACGTTCGATAATTCAAAATTTCCAAAAGTTTTTCACTATCCACACGACTGTTCGCTGTCGTGATATTCTTTTCCACTTCAGAATCTAAAGAAAAAGAAGAAAAAGATTGTAAGAAACGTGTTGTGATCCTCCGCGGCAGCGAGCTCGTTTAATCACGAGAGATAATAGGCTTAATCGTAATAGTAGTGTAACAGACGGGCTCAAAGAGCTTCGTCGTCGGGAGATTGCAATTTGAAGGAAGAACAGAAAAATTCTACCGATATTTTTAGATACACTGTAGGAAGGCCTTATAATATATTTTTTTTCGTGTTCTTTCAAGCGGGCTTCTCTCCAGACTGCCCGCGCCTCGTGTCTTTTCCGTCTCGAGGCACGGCGCGAGTCTTGTCACTACGCCTCACGTCAGTTTCGGTTGCCGACCGAAACATTGTCGCTTGCAACACGTACATATTCTAATGATATATGTATACATATGGTGTAAAATTAGAACAATCGAATCAAACGAAGGGAAGGAATTTTTCTTTTTAACTTTTATTCTTTCTTCTTTTTCGAATCGAAGAAAAACTCCAAGAAAGCTTGTGTCGTACACTTGTCAATTCTTTTCGCACTTTCTTCCCCTCCTTTGACATGCGACTTCTGGCACATAATTTGACAATTTTTAACGCATACGTATATTTATTTCTCTCTTTAAAACACACTGTAGAAGGATAAGCGTGCTCTGTTTTCTCTTGCTTCGAAGCCTTTTCTCTTATCTTT